TTATTGAATATCTCTTATTACCAACTAAAAAGATATATTTTATATTTTTTTATATTCTTATATATTGAAAATTCATTCAATGCCTTTCCATTTGCCGCGTATTACTTCAAAATATATTTTTTGTTTTTACAGGTACTAATTCCTAATTTATCTAAGATTTATTTAAACCGCCTTACTGTGGTGAGAACAAGTTTATAGACTTTAATCGTAGATTAGCTGTTAACAACTGTGTTATTAGACTGTTCCTATATATTATACGTTTTATTTTATTAATATAAATTCTTGTTCTTATATATACTCGTCGCGAGTACAACGTGTAATATTTATATCCGACGAGAATTCCCGATTCAGTTGTCATAGGAATGAAGCTATCGCACCCCGCGACCGCACCACGCAAAGAGAGAAAGAAATACATGTACATATATCGTAAAAGTTTAAATTAAGATGAAATTGAAATGACGCGAGGGCCCTCGGTTTCTTCGAAACTCTATCGCGGTACGATCGACCGAGTTTAAGATTTGTGCTTCGACGCGATGCAAGCGACAGGTATCCCAGTGTGCGCGGATCGCGATAATGTTACATAATACACGATTACGTTCCGTAACTTCTCGGTTGCTTGTACATATACGCCCGGAAGTTCGTTCTCCGGCGGCTTGCGAATTCTCGGGTGGTAAACCCGAATTATTTTCAGATGCTAACTAACAGCACGCTTAGATAGACGCACTTCTCCTGTTCGTATATATTTCACGCTGCGGTGGAATGTGCGGCAACAACAGTGATCGATGATAAGATAACGTAGCGCATAGGACGCTTGTGGAAACAAAGATAAGAAAAGACGGACGGAAAATAAGGAAACAAATTTAAGAGATGAAAAGGGATATAAATAATAAATAATAAAATCAGGCTGATATGAAGACGAAATAAATATAATTAAAATTCAAGAATTATACCGAAGAAGAAAAGTTACTTCGAACGATGTTTTTTTTTGCACGTTCGAACAACTGATCCCACGTCGCCGCTGATGAACCATACATATCCATGTGCTTACACAAACGCACGTAGCTCTCGTCTTCTTCCTCTCTCCCTAATTAAAACACATACATATATTTTTTCAATGTGACTTGTCCTATATATCTCGTATATATAACCGTATAGCCTACATTAAACTTATTTATATCTACATACACGTTGTAATCGTGTAAACACGTGCGCGCATACCATACGTTTATTGTCTATATAAACCGCAGGCTGTATTTCGCACGTGTGTATGTACTTCAGAGACAATATGTACGTAGTATATCGATGAGAAAGACCCGGATAGCGTATATACCTGTAAGGATTATTTCTTTCATTGTTATCGTACGCAGGATGTTAACAGTAATAATAACGTCGACAGTAACAATAACAATTAATGATAACAATAGTAGTAATAATTTAGCACACACGCAGTCGGTTCTTGGCGATGATTCCAAGCGGACAATGCATACAATAAAATTTGTGATAAACGGGAATTGGACATTTGTCTGCGCTTTGTGAAAAAAAAAAGAACAAGATTCATGACTTTGTCGAGAAATTTTATAACGTATACGCGCCCACAAAGTATGTGATCTAGTGTTGCGACACCACCGGTCCAACGTATTCGATTTATCTCTGACTTTCAGTTTTAAACCTCCGGGGGAAGTAAATGACGCCATTTAATCAATCGCGCCGGGAAGGAGCGGATTAAACGTAGCTTGCGCTTTTATCGAGCTTGTTGGACAAAAAACGAGGCAAATCGCGGTCGTTTGCGGCGAAAAATTACGAGGAACACAAATATTACATTTGACGTCGATCGATTCCACTGGTACAGAAAACCAGTCATTTAAACGAATTGAAATTCGAAATCGTTATTTGTATCATTGAACAACAAAAGTGAAATATCCTTCATAAAAACTGAAACACGTCATATTTATATAGAAAATTTGTAACTTAAGTCATTAAACACGGAATGTACGATGGGAACATATTTTATATCCCGCGCTAGATATCCAATTATTCGCATAAAAGAAAATGAAGCTTAATGTATAGGGCGTCCTGAAAAAGATATACAGAATAATTATTTAAAAATGTGAATATTTTTAATTATTTTGACAGAGAAGAAATACAGTTCGTTCTTAAGTCTAATGTCAATTTTATTTTTGCAAAATTGTAAAACAACTATTTTATTTCTTTAATTTTTTGCATTTAATATTTGAAATACGCGATCAAATATTGAGAATATTTGTTATTATAAGATATATCGATACTTCGTATATTTGATTTTTTCGATTAAGAAAAATGATGAAAATGATAAAGTGCTATTCGCATGCGCTTTCTCGCGATTACATCCAAAAGGATATCAGAATCATTATTGCTATATTATAGAGAATAGATATGAAATAAATAACAATTTTTTTAATCGAACGTTATGACCGGTTTTTGAATGCAGTTACGAACAAATCGAGTAGTTGTACTTGTGCGCTCTTTGTACAAATACCCCGTAACGTGATCATATCAATGTAACTTAGACTTATAACATATACGTACATTATACAGCTATACATACTGGACGCGCAATATTAAGAACCAGCTCTTGTATGTTAAATAAACCGAGATTAAATAAAATTGTTGATATGTGATGTTGTAATCGGAAATTCGATACAAAATATGAGACTTTCATAATTTTTTTCTTTTTGCTTTGGCGAACGCATTGGAATTATGTACATCGCCGTATCATTAATAAAAATAAATATAATACGGCTTTCTTATCAAATATATATTTCGTTTATTTATCCATTTCTAATTTATCGCAAATTTTTTTTGTATTAAAAAATGATATTGATGAGATAATACTAAAATCTTTAATAATATTCGGTTGATATAAATCTTTTTCCTCTCTTTATCTTCCTTTTAAGAATTGAAGATACTTTAATAAAACAACTTTTTTTGTAAAAATTATTTCTACTGTATGGGTATTGCTCTCTGGCGTTATCTAGGAGAAGCCCGTTGCGTTTATCTTACAATTTCTCCCAGTTCCATTTCCAGATTGCGAATCTACCAGCTGTACGTACAAACGTACTCATTGAAGGTACCTACTATTTCGACTGTTAATACATTTCTAATATATTCTCTCGTGTCTTTCGGATAAATTATTTTTAATTTAACAGAATATATATATGAACAAAACGTAAAATCATTTAATATCTGTTAAAGTGTTATTCTGACATTGTAAATTAAAGCAGTTATACAAAAATGTTTAAAGCAATGTAATTTAGAAAAAAACTTATCCCAAATTTAGTAAAAAAAAAAAAAAATTGAGGTTTAAAGAAAATGCGCAATGTTTGGAGGAATATGTATTTTACATAAAGCATCTATAATATACTTGTGTATATATGTAAATTGATAATGATATAGCTTTTTGTGTGCATTTCTTATAAAATAAAGTAGGGATGAAGAACAGCGTACGGTTGCGTACGATTTATGTCTAAATGTGCGTGTGTGTGCGTGTATGCATATACATGTGTGTATGCACATATGTATGTATGAACGTAGGTCTATTTAAAACCCAGTAATCCATAGTACATTGTTATTTTTAGCAATATATACATTACATACATAATTCATATAATACCTATATACAATTAAAAACTGGAAAAAGAAAACTATAGTCAGCATAATTTTTCCCAGCTGCGCTACAAGCTAATAATTGCTTTGTCTTTCCCATTTTTTATCATGCACAATTCGCCAGAAGCTTCATTATAGACAAATTCTGTAGTTTTATCGCAATAATTTACAATAGCACATAATGTTTACATCGTACACGACGTTAAAAAATATCATACATCTAACAAAATAAGCATTTTTCTTACATTCACTACAGGTTTTCACTCGCATATCTTATAAGAAATAGAACATTACATTAAAAGAAGTCAAAAAGATTCCCTGAAACTGCAAAACCTCGAAATTAGACATTTATATTTTATAATTAATTATATTATATAGTTTGCATTGAGAGAAAGTCATTAATCTGCGACTAACGCAAGAAAGAAATATACTAAAAACAATTAGCTTTACTAAAATTCTTACAATTATGTCTTTGGATTTATAAGCAAAAAAATTAATTTTATATTTTAATTTAATTTTTAATTTTATTATTTTGTAAAGCACAATTTTTTCATATGAATATGAAATGTTCAAATATATAAATAAACCAAATAGTGATATTTCCGTGAGAAAAATTTCGATAAAAGCTGGAGCACACTTTGAAGAATAGTACGCAAGATACAATTAGTTTTTCAACTCCACAGTCAAGTCTTTTATATTTATATTTTCGTCTTCACATTAACTCGCTCATTCCACGACTTCGTGATAAGCATTCAGTTGAATTCAAAAATTTGCATATAAACTGGTCTTATTACATAGGTTTCACGGTAATTTTTATATTCAAAAAGATATATTAGAGCTGATACTAAAAGTAAGAAACAATGATAGATAATATAAACATTGATTTACATTTTATTTCACAGCTATGATTGTATAATTATGATATATATAGTTAATATATTAATATTGTTAATAATAACAACATTAATATTACAAAATTATTAATAACTAATAGATCAAAATTATCGTATCAATCAAAATTAATAAAAAAATTTCAGATCCCTCATTTCACATATATTTAATATAAATTATTTATTGTTTCTTATTTTATCACATGTACGTATAAAATGTACATGCAAATATATATAAATTGATTGAAAAGATTATCTAAAAAATCACCGTGTAAACCACCTTTTAAAAAATTTATTTAATATCAGCGTTTCTTAAAACGAAACTCTCCGATGGAATTAAAAAGCTATTCGCGTTTAAATTTAGCATCAGACTATCCCGAGATATATATAATTATTAACATTTTATATACTAATATATATAAATTATATATAAAATATGTTCATTTTTATATAACATTTTTTCCCGGGATATCGTTCACATAAAACGTGTAAAAACAACTTTCGCTACCTTTTTAAGTAAACATTTTTCGAGAATAAGGAATTAGAAACGATTGTTCCACCTCCTTTGTAAAACAACAATTTCATCAATATCCATGTCGTTCTTTATTGCGTGCGATTAAAATCGAGACGAGAGAAGAAGCAGAAGGATCAGGCGAAGGCGTGTATACGAGCTATCACGTCGTCGTTACCGTGAAGACTTTGATTACTTCGGTCGTCTTCATAATCCGTTAGTCACATGGAAGGCGGGGGCAGCATAATCTCATAGCCGGCTGGCACGCTCTGCTGATGATGGTGATGATGATGGGAGCTGGACATCATCTGATGATGAGTCTGTTGGTAATACTGGTGGTGCATACTGGAATGGCTGGAGTAATAAACTGAGCTCTGCTCCACGTCTTTACCTTACGAATTAAAAATATTGAAAATTAGAATAATAAAAATAAAAAACGGGATAATTTAAATTCAGGAATTCGTATATGTTAACATTATTAATTGCAAATAACATTATGCAAAATATAAATATATTTCTTTCATAAAATATAATTCTCTTTTTTTATATATCTCTGTAGATTAGATAAAGTTAAAGAATTAGGAATTAAGAAATTAAGTTTTATATAAATGTCTTAAGTTGATATTACATTATGCAAAATTAAATCAAAAATATATAAACACATAAATTTTTTTATATAAGCGTTCAAGATTTCCCCATTTAGTATTCTCTGAATATTTAATAATTTACCTGTGTCGTATACACTGCGTCCATACAAAGCCTTAACGTCGTTCATAGGACTCAATCCGCCATTATGAGAATGTGAGGTATGAACGGACGATGGGGTAACAGGAGTGGCATAGCCATGATGAGGACCCATGGGACTCATGCCCATCGGGCTGCATGGATTCATAGTGACTGGTGACATACCCATAGTTGATAGAGGTGACATTGCGAGACTCGGACTATCGGAATCGATACTCTGCAAAGATTGAATACTACCGCCGTTGCTCACTGAACTGCTAATTGTACTGTTAGTCGTGCCTTGACAATTTAGTGGTAGCATATCCCTGTAAATAAATTATATTTCATAATATTAAAAGATATTTAACAAAAACTTTAAAAAAATATTTTGTTTTGCACATATTATATAAATTCTTAGTTAAATAAATCTATCTTGTAATTTGTCTTATAATTCACAAATGTATAAATTAATGTCAGATTGATGTTTCAATATCCAACTTAATTATAGCCCAGATAGCACAATGAATTCGCAAAGTATTCTTCAAGTTTTCTCCTTTTCTGAATTGTAATTCCTTAGGAATTCATACAAGAATACAATAAGAATACTTTAAGAAGTTTCATGCACCATATTTCGAATTTCTGAAAGCTTCTTAAAGTATTCATATAGTGTTCTCTTTATATCAACAGATATACCTTATGAATTCAAGAAGAAGTGCTTAGAATAAGCACATAGGGTTAAAAATATTCAGTAAGGTCCAGTTTCACAACTCACGGTTAACTCTTAACCGAGGTTCAACTTATTTCTCACCTCTTCTAATTCTAGAATTAGAGAGAGATAATAAATAAGTTGAATCTCAGTTAACTGTGAGTTGTAAAATTGGGCCTAAATCTCAAAATTTGTTCGCGTTGCATACTCCATATGCATGAACCATGTTATTGGCTCTCGCAGCTAGCCCGGCCACGATTTGGCCATAAACTGATTCCAAAATGCAGGTAACAAGTCCAAAAATAAGGAAACAAATACAAAAAAGCTCGACAACTTAACAAAAATTAAGGATGATTCAAGACCCAAGCCGAGACGAAACACGTCCGTTCCGGCGTACACGCTTGGAGAATTTTGTGTCTGGCCACGCTTGCGTGTACTTGCAATTCCTCATGAATTCTCAGAGTACTCAAAGTACTAAATAGTGAAGTATTCATTGTAATGAATTTCTGAAGAATACTTCAAGATAAATTAATTGTGGTTGATTTTTCAAGAATTCTTTAGATATTCATTTTTCTAATTCTGTATATCTTCTTTAAAATGAATTCTCTATGAACTCCAATTCACTTCCGTGCTATCTGGGTAGAAATTTGTTTCTGATTTTTACATAAATTATTGGAAATTTTTAGATGTATATATGAAACTGCAAAATATATTTTTTTTTTTATAAAGGAATGATTTTTAATACATTTAACACTACTTATATCGTTTATCGGTGATTGATATTAAAAGATCAATAAAAATGCATAATTAGTAAAAAATAACATTCGTAATTTTGTAAATATAATCAATATTAAAATAATAATCTAAAATAATAAACATACTATACAGAGTTAGGAAATAATGCGTCACTTGTAACGCGATTATCGTTACTTTTTTTCTGTCTGTGATATAAACGGTAATTGTTGTTATATTCTTACCGGATTCAGCTGTTACTTTTTTTGTTACTTTAATATTCTCTATTATCTTTATATCGATAAATTATTCGCATTTTTTTGATTGAATAAAAATATTTTATTTAAGTAGGAATTTAAGTATTGAAAAATATTTTGTACTTAACATCTTAAGCTGCATTTCGGTAGTCACTGCCAATACTGAAAATAGTATATGTTTATATAGCTATAAATTTTCACAAAACACAACTATACTAGCAGTAAATATTGAAATGCATTATTAATAATGATATTGTTGATAATAATGTTCAATAATTTACTTGTATAAAAACATTGTTTAATTTCAATTTTTAATAAAATTTGTGAATTACAATCTTTAGAAATCTAAAATCCTAAAGAAAAATATATGTTAAAAAAAATATTAACGTAAAGCATTATAGAAGATTTATTAGATAAGTTTGATATAAAGGAAAGTTTCTTACGACATATATGGAAACTAGTTTAGAGTTTTAAAATATAGTTTTAATTATTACATTTAATATTAATTAAGTAATGTAACTTTAAAATCTAATATCATGCTTTAATATTACAAAAGAAAAAGTAACAAAAAAAGTAACGAATCATTACTTTCTAACAATAAGTAACAGTGACGAATCACTTACTTATGTCTGTGACTAAATAAATCGTTAAAAAAATGCGGGAGCAGAAGTTCGTTAAGGGGATTTTTGGCAGTGGTCAACCATACATAAATAAAATTAATTATTTAAAAAGAAAAGAAACCCAAAAAATGACGAAAAATAAATACACAATAGTTGACCCTCATAATGAAAGAACCCTTCATAAAACTTTTTTTACGACTATATGAAAACATTCCGTATGGATTTTCGAAAGTACATGTGGATATACTGATGAATGCTTTCTCTACAAGCTTCAGTGATCAACACAGTGATCATCTTATTTTTGACAAGGATGTATCATAATACAATATGTGTGTTTCCTTTTAAAAAGCATTCATTGTCTTAGAAGCGTAAAAAGGCAGAAAACAGGTAGACTTTTAAATGACTTCCAAAAAAGCTAGGATAGGTTAATATATACACAGTGTCACATTATTCTTTACACATTATTATTTAAATTTTATTATGATTAAATGTATAAACAACTTGCGTTTGACTCCTATGGCCTTGATTAATTTTCTTATTTAGATTTGAATCAAAGGAGTTTTTTAATATTTAATATTTTAGGTTAAATTATTGCATTTTATCTTTATCATCTGTATAGTATTTCGCTGAATACTCAAACTCTGAGTTTAGAATTTTTATTTTGAACTCAGATTAACGACATGCCATTACATTATTACATCAAAACATGAATATAATAAATTCTGCAAGATATGAATTCGTGAGAGAATAACAGATAAATAAAAATTAAAATATCTTTAAGAGTTCTTTAAGAAACATCTTTAAAATATTTCGTAAAGAGTTCTGAAAGCTGCCTTAAAGTTGTCTTATGCACCGATTTTATCTGTTTATTCGACAATCTTTAGAAATTAATATCTCATTAACTATTACGAAAATGGTTGAGGACTTTTCGACTGAGAGCTTAGTCGGTCTATCTGCCCACAAGCAGAGTATCAAAAAGTTTAAAACATTTTGTATACATTTAGGCGCGAAACATATACATATATGCTCTCTTTTCGAAAATTTTCGTCTCCTCATACAAAGATTTTTAAACTCAACAGAAGGAGAAGCACAAAGGTCCCGATACGGAGGTCCCACTTATTCTGTTGGGTATTGTTCTACGGTGTTGCCGCCGTGAAAATAAACCGCGAAAGCTATATGTGAGAGCGCGTGTTCATGTGAGACATACACATAGTCCATGTACGTGATGTGCGTTGACCGCTCCACCCATGGTTTGGACGTTTGGTTGTGCACGGAACACTCTCTCCCTACACCGTGTTCTCTGTCTAACACGAACGTCGGACCGTGCATTTTTATAGTCTTGCCTCAAGGTCCGGATTTAAAGGAATACGCCCTACATGTACCCCAACGCTCTACATCTTGGGTTGGGTCCCTTTCTCCATCCTGACGAATGGGAGTCTGGACCATGGGATGGATGGAAGAGAGGGAGATTTTAGGACTTGTTTAGAGAGTTTGCCGATAATATTTCGAGGAGATTATTAACGTCGCTTATACGTTACGAAGTAATAGACGAGCGCATAACTCGGAAGACTTGAACATTTTGTGTGATTACTCTCACCTAAAAATTAGAAATCTAATTTCTAAGTGAATTATAGAAAAGTTTTAGGAATGTATAAGAGGTCAAATCGAATTCTGTGGATAAAGCAATTTTGTATTAGAGTGACACTTAAAACTCCATATTAAACTGTGATTATGGCAAATATGAGTATTTAGTGCTAACTGCAATGTGTTTTTTCACAGTTCTCTTGGTAGCGACTATTCTTCGATCTAACGAGGAAGAAGGCGCGTCCTCGTTGTTGCGTGGCACACGCGAAGATAAATCGAGGTAGCGGCGGAGGGCCGGCCGTGGCCTTTATGTAGTAAACTATTGGTAGTGCGAACAGCTCAATGGTGAAACGGGAGATGTAACCGAAGCTGCGTCATAAAACGGTAATGGGGCGTCGCGTTTCCTTTTCCTAGGGCCTTCGGCGAAAGGCAGGAGAACGTTAAGGACAAGAAAAGGGGAGGAAGTTCAACTTGGTCTTCTGCCACCAAGAAAAGAATTGTTTTCTTGAAAGCAAGGAAGAGGAAAGCTGAATGTCGAGAATATTATCAAACGATCTCACTTGAATTTAAAAATGTGTATGATTTAGCGTGATAAGAATTGAAAATAGTGTTACATTAAAAATATTTTCTATATTTAATATTTTCTTTATAACAAAAAAATCCAAAAAACCTGGGCGAATGAGATTCAACGTGGTAGTTAATACGCAAAATGTAATCTTAAATCTTTATTCCAAAAAATAATACGTTTCGGTTCACTTTGAAACCATCCTCAGCAATACAATTTCAAAATATAACTCCCTTCATATCAAGGAAAAAATCACCATCAGATTTACAGATTTGGTGTTGTAAAATCATTTTTTTTTTATATTTTCTTAGCTGACAAAATTTTTTTTTTTTTTAAGATCGCAGATATTGATAAGTGTAGACTAGTAAATAAAATTTAAATGAAGAAAATTATATTAGTTTCGCTTACATTCCTATCTTCTTTCCTAGCATTGCGCCGGAAATCGATTTTCAAAAGAAAAAAGGAAAGATAATGGAAATATCGACAGAGAGTAATTTAATGTTTTCTGTAAAAAAAAAGGTCATTATATATAATTAAGATTACGGTCCATTTGGTGGTATGAATGCTTCGAAGCATTTTTGGATTGGTCAGTTAGTAAAATTCTTTCTTCCTATTGGACAATCCGATTGGTTGCGAAGCATTTGTAGCATCAAATAGACCCCTGAGTTTGTTACCAGATACCTTTCTTCAAACTGTAAGACACTCAATTTCCTTATGTCATTCGTTTGTTTGCAGCTTTTTTTGTGTTATTCGATTGTTCGCAGCCTTTTACTTCGTAATCTATTGTTTTCTTAAGACCTCCCCCCAAGAGCTTGCCATAATTTCAGCACAGCTTCTGGTAAGTCTTTCAAATTTGAAGTAA